GGAATAAAAACTTTAAAAACATGTAACTGACTTTGAATTAAACATATTTCTGCTTATAAACTGAACGTGTTTTTGTGTAAATTGCCTTCAGACATTTGCTGTGAATCGATGCAGCATAAATAAACTTAATTTAAATAAATATTGCAGTTTTGAGGATAAATATGTTTGCATTGTGAAGAAATATGTGTTTTACATTTTAAAGCAACCAAAAAGAAAAAATCCTCTGATGAAGGAAAATAATTTTACTCTGTAAAACAGATCAGAAATGAGAACAAATTGTGTTTTAGTGGCTGGGAATCAAACTTTTAAATAATCAACATTTTTCTGATATATCATAAAAAAGATCAGGTTGTTTTAATGATATGAAACTTTAGTTAAATAAACTCTTTTCTGGAGGTTTGTGAGAAGTCAAAACTTTTTCGGAGAAATTTCAAAAGAATCAACGACTGTTTTTCTCCTGAACTGTTCAGAGAGAAAATGATTTCATTTTGATTAAAGTCTCATTCCATGAGGTGAATTTGAGATCACTTTTAGCGTTTGGTTGGAATATTGAAGGGTTTAAATCCTGCAGGACAAACTGAAGGCGAATCACGTGAACGGTTCTGCTGACCCGATGAAAAGTCATTTCCTGTCTTTTCTCTGAGGTTTTCCATTCAACCTCACTGACGGCGTTTCATCCGTTCCTCGTTGTTTCACTGTGACAGAGCGAAATTACAACAAAAAGAGAAAAAAGTCAAATATATCTGCAACAGGACATCAGAATGGAGTTCCAGTATTTTTATATTTTTTGTGGACATTTGTGGTAAAATAAAATTTGCACGTAAATTTCAATATTTTGAATATTTGATTCTATTGTTTTTGACATTGATATGATATTTATTCAATTTATTTGAGGCCTGTTCTATGGCTTTTCTGCAGGTCATCCAGTATTTGGAACATGCATTTACCCAGAATGCCCCTCTCAGAGTTCACCTCAACCGGATTGTAGGGGCAGATTCAGTGTTTTTGGTTTGGTTGCCGTTCACACCTCCCCAAATGAACCGGACTGTTAGACTGAAGCGGCCCGAGCGGCGCCGCTTTCAGTGCATTAAGATGCATTAACCTCCTAACGGCCTGATGATTCCTCCTCCTCAGCGAGGAGCTCCCTGTCTGTGACTCGACGTTCCGATCGAAACGTTCTGATGAAATCGTTTCCGAACAGTAAAGTTTCAGGGTCATTTGGTGGAATTTCCCTGAAGTCAGCATCTCCTTCCTTCACATGTTCACAGTTGAGGGAATCGGAAGATGACTAACCGAGGAGCCGCTTCTGCTTTCGGGCCGTTAAGTAGAGGCGGCGTCCGTCCAGCCGTCAGTCCACAGCGGAGCAGCAGCTGAACCAGAACCAGAACCAGAACCAAACACTTTCTCCACTTCTTCCCTCAGTCAGTGAAAATGATCCGGTTTGACGGTTTGCTGAAGGCGGTGCTGGTCACTGTCGTTTTGGTGGTGGCTTCTGGACACGCAGGTGAGACCGGTCACAATGAACCAGTTTCTGTTTTTGTCCTGAAATGATTTGAGACTCAGAGCTTTTTTAAATCTTCATCTTCAGATGAGAAGTTGGCCACCTGCTGTGAAACAGTGAACAGAAATGAGATCACTGAGCCGATCCAGGGATTCCTGTTCCAGAAAGCCAACTATCCGTGCATCCAGGCCATCATGTGAGTGTTTTCAATCCAAAAAACTAAACTAATGGGAGAGTTTTATTATTCAGAATATGCAAAATAATAAAAGGACACTCAACACTGCAAAAACATAAAAACTTAAATGTTTTTCTCTGCTTTCTAATGCAAATATTATAATAAGATTAAATTAACTTAAAAGTAGCTTTTGAGCAAGAAATCAGTTTGTTTTAAGTCCTTAATAAATCAGGTTATTTCACTTCCAACATGAACAAACAAACATCTCTTTATAAGTACAACTAGTGTTTTTTAAGCCAATATTAAAGATTTATTTACATAAATAAGCTCTTATTTCTTGCTCAAAAGTTACTTGTGAATACATTTTGTCTTATTTTATGTGATCTAAGATATTTGCACTAAATCTAGACATAAATACTTGCTCAGATTTTAAAATGTTGACCTTCATTCTGAAATTGAACTGGATTTTTTCTGTTATCCTGCAGCTTTCAGACAGAAAGTGGTCTTTACTGCAGCCAGGTGTCGGCTCCCTGGGTTAGAAGAAAGATCAGAGAATACAGGTTTGTGAAAAATAAACTTTCCTGATGTTGCTTATCTTTCTGTTTTACTCGTCTATAATCTGTATTTCTACGTTTCCTCTCACAGGGCAGCGAAGGCTCAGTCAAAGGCCGCTTCCTCTCCGACAGCCGTCTCCCTCCTCTCCATCATAACCTCCACCGCCGCCGCGCCGCCTCCCTCCACCCTTCCTCCTTCCTCTTCCTCTCCTTTCTCTGGCTCCGCCTCCGGGGTTTCATCCGGCGAATCGTTTTCTGGGAGCATGGAAGACGAGAGCTTCGTGACCTTCGTGACCTCTGCGACCTCCGCCGCCAGCGAAAACAACTGAACATGTTTCATCAACAGCTCGGTTATAGTGAATTACTTTAGGACTTGTAGTTTCTTTCATTAGTTAAATTATTTATTTGGTAAAGCTAAATTTGCTGTTGTGATGCAGTGAAGGTTAATATTTACCTTTTGTATTTATAAACATTTGGAGTAACTTATGAAGCAGTTTGTAATGTTGAATGTTTACTCATTTAGTTTTTGTGGAAATGTTTGGAACTCAAGAAACTTGAAAGCTTTAACTTTTTACTCTGAAGGAAACATTTCGGAAAATAAGAACTTAATAAATATGATTTGATATTTAATATTTGTTCATTTTGATTTCCATCTCATATCATCAGAAGCTCGAATCCCCAGCCTGCACTGCAAAAACACAAAATCTTCACAAGTATTTATTGTCTAGATTCTGCTGCAAATGTCTTAGTGAAGCTGAAATAAGACAAAACTCTCTTACTAGTAACTTGGTAGCAAATTATGAGCTTGTTTTATGTACATTATTGCATTTGCATAAAACAAGTGAATTTAAAGAGTTCTAGTTCCTCTTGCAAAACAATTTTTCCCCACAAAAGGTCATTTTCTCAAAATAAAAACCATATTCAGAGCATTAATTAATGCAAAAAATGTACAAAATATTTGTACATTTTCAGCCAAAATTCATCAGGTGTCATAGTTTATCTGTACTTTGTTCAAATTCACTGAAGGAATCTGATGCTGTTGCATTTTGGGCAATAAAATTATAACTTTCCTAAATGAGAAAATAATTAATATTTGTTTACTTGTATGTTTTGTAATGAAGTTTAAAATGTTAAATGGACAAGCTGCAGAAAAGTTGCAGCCTTAAAAATGACTCAAACTCATTTAAAAATGTAAGTTTGTCTTAAAAATAATAATCACAGATCTTAAGTTTTGTCGTCTTATATTCAGTGTAGCAGAAAATGTTTGAGTTTTGCTCAGAAAACTGTGATTTGTGACTGGAGGGGGTTGTAGCTAACGCTAATGAGCTGCTAACGAGCTGCTAACGAGCTGCTAATGCACTTGCTAGCAGGCTAGCGAGCTAGCATTTTGCACATGGACATTCATCTATCTATCTATAAATAGGGAAAACCCGCCAGGGGGCGCTGTGTGTGTTTTAAACTTTAAACTGCTGACGCACCGTTCGGCCTATAGAGGGCAGCACAGAGAAGATAATGTAGATTTGAACAAATTCACTCAAAAATGAACATTTAGAAGCCAAAATAATCTGTTAAGACAATAAATCAGCATAAAAGTTCAGTTGTTTGTTTGTTTATATTATTTTAACTTTGTTTTCTGCTGTTGCACCTGAAAGACTAATAACTAATAACTGAAACAAATGATATTTCTGTCCTATTGTCCAATAATGATCAATGTGTGAATAATCCTGACTAACAGGATTGCTCTAGTTTTGATATCTATATATAATTTTGCCAGAAGGTGTTCAGATATCAGTTGTTTCTGTGTTTTTGTGTCACTGGGAAGGAAAACATTGTGAAAACATGAAGTCATGCTGAGACTCGTTGCTAAATCTGTTGAGACATAAATGCAACTTCCACAAAACAAGAACATCCTGATCTTTAAACCTTCCCTGTACTTAAAACATGTTGAACCAAAATATAAATCAATTATTTATTCGCTTCAAAAACTCTTTTTAACTTGTTTTAACTTGTTTCTTTACTGTGGCTCTCCGGGTCACGTTGGTGAAAAAACACAACCAAACACCAAATAAATATTAATATTCATAAATATGCCTGTTAAGAAGCTAACATACACTGTCTTCCTCATTTACACTCAAAACATTCAGCCAATCAGCACCAAGCAAAAATGAAGGCAGCCAATAGCGAAGTAGCCTAAATATTTCATAATCTGCATTTTGTTTTTAAATTTACACTGCAAAACATGAAATCTTACAAGTTTTTTGTCTAGTTTCTAGTGAAAACATCAGTTCACTTGAAATGAGAAAAACTTATTTTAATGAAGATACAGGAGCTTGTTTAAGTCAATAACTCCTTAATATTCATTTAAAAAGTTCTTGTTCCACTGGCAGATTATTCCACTCACAATAAGATGTTTTAAGGGGAACTAGAACTTTTTTAAAGAAAGTATTTACTTAAACAAGCTCCTGTGTCTTGCTGTAAAGTTAGTTTTGTCTTATTTCAGATCCAAAACTTTGGTAAGATTGTGTTTCTGCAGTGTGAAAGGTTTATGTCTGAAGTTAAATTATAGTTCTGCCATCAGGTTGACCTCCGATTTCCCAGGGTTTTCATGCACCCACACAGTTTAGAGGTGAAATATTAAACTAAATATAATTTTGTGAACTCATCTGCAGATCATCATCTGAATTAGTCAGAAACTGAACTTCTGCTTTTCTCAGTTGAATAAATAGAGGTCTCCTTCAGAGAGATGTCAGTTCACCATCAGCTCTCTGGAGGGGAAGTGAGACGACCAGAAATACTTTCTTTTCTATTTATTGTCCTGCTGGTTGAGCATCAACATGCTGAGCATCAACATGCTGAACGTTGCGCTGGTCGCTCTCATCCTGGCGACTGTTTCTGCTGATCCAGGTAAGGCCAAACATTCACTGAATGTTAAATATTAATGTTTATTCCTGTTAAGGGTCAAATTTTGACTGTTTTTTGGTTGTTCTCAGGTGAGAAGTTGTTTACTTGCTGTAAGAAAGTCAGCACAGCTGAGATCACAGAGCCGATAATAAAGTTTGCGATCCAGCGGCCGAATCCTCCGTGTGTGAGAGCCGTGATGTACGTATGAACCGCAGAGCTTCTGGTTAAAATGGGAACAAGTGAGACCAGCTTCCAGCATTCTGCTTTAATTTACCGCAGTAATAATGATGAGAATAACAGTTTAGAGCAGGGCTGTCCAAAGCGGGGTGCGGGGGCCATTTGTGACCCTCAGACCGATTTTTGCGGCCCTGTGACTGCTGTTGAAAATCATCCAAATATGCCCCGTAGATTCAGACAGAAGCTTTTAATTTGCAATTAGGGTGAAAATGATTACAATTCTTACTTGTCTTTTGATAATTAAGTTGGAACAAAAAGTAAAACCAAGTTTATCCAGAAACTTTTCCTGAAAAGCCAAATTTCTTTCTTTTTTTAAAACTAAATATAGCAAACATTTTGAAACAAAGTGACCCAAATCCTTTTCTTACTAACTACAATAAATTTATTCAATAAAACCCCAAAGAAATGTTAAACTGGAAACATTTCCTTTAGATCTGCTGAGACTTATTTTTAATTTTTTCTAGAAAACATCTGAAATTAATCACAAAACGTTATTTTATTAAAATTTGCTCATTTTTTCGATCTGCTATCTGGTGAAAATCAGGTTTTGGCTCCATAGTAACATCGGGTCACTTTATTTGGCTGAATGTAGTTTTTTTTATTTTACTTTATGTTCGGCCTGCTTCTGGTTTACAAAACGTTTGTACACCCCTGACGGTTCCTCTTCCTGTGACCTGCAGCTTCACCACCCAGTCGGGTCATTTCTGCAGCCACCTTCTGGCTCCCTGGGTTTTCGCCAAGATCCAAGAACTCAGGTCAGTTAAAGCCTCAGTTTATTCCTCATAAACTCAAATTTTCACTTTTTAACTCAGATTTTTGTTGTTTTTCCAACAGAAGAGTCAAAGCTCAGCCGACCACTCCTCAGGTTGTCACATCAACGCCTCCTTCCCCTTCCTCTTCCTCTTCCTCTTCCTCTTCCTCGCTCCTCTCCATCATCACACCCACCGCTGCTCCTCCTTCGTCTTCGTCACCTGGACCGTCTTCATCGTCTTTCTCCTCCTCTTCCTCCACAATCGCAAGTGAGACGTTTCCTGCATCCAGAGATCAGTAGAGCTGCAGCTGATGGAGAAAAACAGAAAATATATTTTTTATTTTTCTCCATTCAACAAACCAAAGATAAGAAAAAAGAAAGAATAGAATTAAGCTAAATTATGATTCCCGTTAAATATTCAGTGTTAATTTGGTAAAGTTATTTATTAAAGTGTGTCACTCTGCAGGTAGAGGATAAAATATGTTTTATATTTATTTACAACGTTCCAAACAGTTTAAATATATATTTTAAGCTATCTATCTACTTTAAAGCATTAATGTTTCACTCTGAAGTAAAACTGTAAAGATATAAAGATTGTTTTTAGAAATAAAATATCTAATCTGAATCTTGATGTTTGGTTTTTTTCATTTTGATTAATTTTCTGAAAATAAAATTCAAAACATTTTTAAGGACAAAAATCATCAAACTTCAATTTAAAAACAACAACAACAAATCATACAATTGTATCCGTTGTAAAAAAGTCCAGTTCGTTTAGTGAAACATTAATTACGGATGTTACAGGAGGAATTTACTCCAGAAGAGGTTTGTGTTTTTATTCCTGTTAATTATAGTTTAATTTAAAATTAGAATGTAGTTTCAATATAATTAAATAACGTCGTGGCTTCATGAGTAACAGTTTGGCTCAAAGAGAGACAGTAAAAAATGACTTCAGGGAAAAAACTGAGTCTGGTCCGTTACTGGGAACCACGTCCGTGTTTCTGCAGGTGCCTAGTTAAAGTATTTGATCCGGTTGCTGGTCAGGGAGAGAAAGCCGCGGCTCGTCCACTCAAACAGGAAGCTGTGAGGAGCGGCAGCATCAGGCTGATGGCATCATGGGAAAAACATGTCACTGAAACGACGTCACTTAGTGGAGTCAAAGTTGAGAAACCTGGTAAGGTCAGTAGGGAGAGGTCAAAGGTCAAGCTGACCAAAACATTCTAATTGTTTAAAAGGCAACGCAACCAAATATTTAAGGTCTGTGTAAAAATCCAGCCAAATGTTTCGGTTCTGTGGCGATGTGGTCGTCTGGAGTAGCCATGAGCCGTCAGTGTCTTCTCTGCAGGCTGAGTAAAGAATGAGGGAGGATTCCTGAACGAGGCGTCGAGCTGCTGCTGATTCACAACTTCCAGATCAACGACTGATGGCTTTATTATTGTTTCATTCATTTTAAAATGAAACAGCAGAAGCTCAAAGTTCAGGAGGAATTTACTCCAGAAGAGGTTTGTGGTAGAATGAAGTCATTTTACATTTAGCAGGAAGTTTGTTTGGTTTTTAATGAAAGGAGAGAACAACGACTAATGTTTAAAAAAGATTATAATTCATCCAGGTCAGAAGAGGTTTGACAAAAACATTGAAACCTTGGTAGAAACATCTTGTTTTAAATGAAATAATCTGTTAATGGAACCAGAACTTTTCATCAACATTAAGGAATTATTTACTTAAAACAAGCTCCTATTTCTTGCTAAAACGTTATTTATAAGTAAACAGATATTTGCAGTAGAAACCAAATGAAGATAGTTGGTAATATTTTGTGTTTTTGCAGTGTAAAGTTAAAGGATCGGGTTTGAAAACTGAACTTCCTGAAACGTTTCCTGAGCTGAAATTCACTAAAAGTTTTGCTTTAATCTCAGAAACGTTTCTGTTTCACAGCAAACCGCATCTGAAGTTGACAAAGCAAGTGGCTTTTCTGAAAAGGTTTCCATTTTTGCAATTTGTTACATCAGAAGCGTCTCGACATTTTGACTCAGGATGTTGATTAATGTTTTTGTTTCACATGTTTCCTCTTTTTCATGCTGTAAACCTCACAGCGTCTTCATCCTGATGACTAACATGTTTCTTGATGCTGATCATGCCGAGTCACGGTGAATTCATTCAATTTCTCTGCATCATCAGTCACATGAAGTGGAAAGATGCTGGCTAATCCTCCATCCTTCCACTCTGCCACCACTTCCTGATATTATTATGCAACGCCTGTAATAAATATTATGTTTCCTTGAACAGGTCAGGCTGGGCTTGTGGTCTACACAAAACATGATTATTACAGTTTTTGTATGAAATCATTATTAATAATGAGATTTTATTCTGGTCAGCTCATGTCAGAATGAGCTGTTTTAGGGTTCTGTGCCTTTAAATCTAAATAAGCTGCCGTTGGCCACGCCCACATCTCAATGTTTACAACCACCGGTGAAAACAGATGCAAAGAGACGCACAATCATTTGAGAAACAGAAGTGGAGCCTCCTGCACAACCAACAAGAATGCAGCAAGTGGTTTCTGGATTTTAAGTCAATAACAAAACACTTTGTCTTTTCCAGCAGCCATTGTACAGCGCAGCATGAAAGGTGAATAAAGAAATTACATTCAAGTGAGAGTAAAAAGTTTCCATCCAACAAACTTAAAAGTAAAAAAAGGTTTACTGAAATACTGAGTATCTAATCAAATTATAATTTGATATTTCAAAGTTACATCTTCAGACTGGATGATGTCTGGATGATTTTTTAAAGTTAAGTGGAAATTTTGGTGTTTTTTAAGGATCAAATTTTCAATAATTTGTACAAGTAACAAAAATAACAAAATCAGGCAAAACAAAATGTTTCCAAATCAATTTTATTTTTCAATAAAAAACGTATAAAACTTCAATAAAAGCTGCAGTTGTGTGTCTGTCTGGTGGATTTTGGATCAAATCGTGTTTGTTTTTCATTCACTGGGTAAAAAATCCAGAAATTTTGCTAAAGTAGGAGCAAAAATACTTTGTAATAAAATTATAAAAACACAGCATAGTAAAATATTCCTAAATGTACTCACTGCCAGTAAATGTCTGGATGATTTTTTTTTCCATTTAAATGGTTTAAAAGCAGCAGAAAGTGGAAGTGGAAAATAAAAAGGTGTAAAAACTGGATTGTGCTTCACGTTCTGCTGCTGTTTGTGACGTGTGGAAGCGAAGCGACCGCAGGACGTTACGAAACATAAAACTTTATCGTTTTTACCTCAGAAGGAAACGGCTGAAATGACCACAGCTGAGAGGTTGATGCAAAAGTTTCTGTTGTTTTTCTACTAGTTTAACATTTTCAGTTACAAAACTGTCTGAAAATGAGGGAAAATACCTCAACACACATCTACGTGCAAATCAAACGTGTTCAAATGGCCTAGTCAAAGTACAGACCTAAATCTGATTAAGAAACTTGAAACATGATGAAAACTTTTAATGTTTTTGTTAAAGCAGAAACTCTTCACCTCTAGTGAAGAATGTCTCTGCTTTGTGTTGTCATGTAAAAAAACCACCTGAACAAATTTAGATTTGTTCTCTGGAACAAAAGGTGTGAAGTTTTTACAGCGACTGAATGTGGGAAATTCATGTGTGACTTTGTCTGCAGTCAGAACAGGAAATCCTGAAAAAGTCAAATCATAGCGTCATGCAGACTGTAGAGCAAAAATCTGAGCTGCACTTAAAAACAATGCAACAGATTTAATGTGAACATGAAGGAGTTTCACAGCATGAAGCCTCATTTGGTACATAAAGACATTTCTGATGCAAAGATCCGTTAAATTATTTACTGAATGAGTTTTTGTTGATGAGTTGCTCATCAACAAAAAGCCTCCTGCATGTTTCTGTCTCATTTTAACCTGTTCAGGTCAAAATTCACGAGTCCATTTAAAAACTAGTTTGAAATATTTTTGTGCAGATTTGAAAACCCAAACTGATGACTTTGTTTCTCATCATTTGTTGACACACAAGTTGCCACCATGACAAAGCGAAACAGGCGACGCGTTTTCTGACGACGTTTCTCAGAAATGAGCCACTGAGATGAAGCTTGTGGTCGGAGGGCGAACAGGTTCTGATGCGAGGGGCGGAGGTGACAAACACTGACCACAACCTGCAGGAGACACGCAGGAGCCCCGCTGATGGTACCGATAAATACCAGCCCGGATCCGCGGCCGCCAGTCCGACCCACCAGCTGATGATGAAGATGAAGATCCTGCTGCTGCTGCTGCTGCTGCTCGCTGTGTGTCCATGCAGCCACTCCTCTCCAGGTACATGTTCCTCATCCAGACACTTCAGTTCATCACAGAGTGCTGCTTTACTTACTGCTGCAAAAACACAAAATATTACCAAGTGGTTCTGGTTTCTGCACTTGCAGTAGGAATAAACCGACTGCAGGTTTTGTGTTTTTGCAAAGGAGATTTCTAATGTTTTCTGTTAGAAACTTTGAAATGATCCGTTTGCTGCTGAACTGGGATCTTAATCAACGCTCTAGTTTCATTTTGATTATTTTAATGCATTCGGCACAAATCAAAACGACTCCCCAGATATTTTCAAATGCATTTTGAGGTACGATACCCAACAGACACAGAACCGTATCGCCGATACCGATACTTTTTTATTGTTTCAGTTTTATACACCAGGAAACTTCTGACTTTCAGGTGATTCATGGTGAATCATTTTGTCCCATCAGACAAGACATTTAAAAACTTTTAAAGAAATATCAACACTACATACAGAAACAATGGAAGAACAAAACAAATTTATGTCCATAGAGTAAACAATCGTCAGAATAAATTCTTAAATGGAATTACAGAAATTAATTTTCTTAATGAAAAGCAAATTTCAACAAATCTCAAGGTTTTTAATAAAATGTTTTTTTGGCTGAATCGAAGAGCCCCGGATTATTAACCCAAATCCGGAAAAGTCTTCATGAAAATACTGCCATCCAAAAAGAGACAACAAAACATTTTTAATTTACTACTGACGGAAACGACAAAGAAGACGACGGGAAGGGGAAGGAGGATGATGGTGCTGTTTGTTTTCTAAAGATTTATCACATAAAAAGTTACTCATGTTTGATTTTAATTATGTTTCTCAACTAATGGAAACTGCAATTGAGAAACTGTGTTTTTTGGACATTAGTGGAATACGAACATTTATGATGGAAACCAGTAAAACACAAAGCCAGAAACAAAAAGCTTCCAGTTTACCATGGAAAAACAACATCTGTATTGACTCACTGACTTTTCTGCAAAGCCTTAAAAAGCACGAGGCAACAGTAGGAAGGAACAACAACCCTAACAGGAAGATTATGACTATTATGTCAATATTAATTAATTATTGACTTAAAAAAGCTCCTATATCTTCATGAAAAGTAATTTTTATGTCATTTTGGTCTCATTTCAAGTGAAGGAAGACATTTGCATTAGAAACTGGAGAAACGTTCATATTTTGTGATTTTTCTGTTTTAATTTCTGTGGTTTGCAGCTCACTATCCGACCGGGAAGAACCGGCCGTGCTGCCTCCACATCTCCAGGAAGAACCTCAGCAGTCGGATCGTCGGGTCGGTTTTCCATAAGCAGCCGGCCCGGTTCCCCTGCGTTAGAGCCGTGATGTGAGTTCAATCATTTCATTTCAACACGCAGAATCTCAGCAGAACTAAGCAGCTTGTGTCCATGTCCAGATTCTACACAAAGAGTGGACCCATATGCGTTCACCCCAACGACGCCTGGGTCCAACAAGGTACAGCAGCTCTTAACAAGAAATGATTTATACATCACTCTGGTTTTCACCTTCTCTTTTTTCTTTTCAGTCATTGCCAACATTACGAGGAAGGCGTAAAGCGAACAACTGGACCTGCAGCTCAATTTAAAATATTAATCATCCTCAGGCCTGATTCTTACAGATGAGCTCCACTGTGAAAAATGAAATATTTATTTGAGTCATAAAATTGCTGCATTTGCTTTCAACACTTAAAATATTAATTGTATTTGTTGTACTTATGAACTTTCCCTATAAAATGCTTTATGAAATATAAATAAATTTGCTTCTTTTTTCACTCATATTATGCTTCTGAAAATGAAATAAATATATTTTTGTCAATAATTATGATTTTGAACATGTTTACACTAAAATCTTTAATGACAGAAGAAATGTAAAAGTAACAGGACTTTACTGCCATCTTGTGGCCAAAGCTGGTATGAACCTGGAAAACATAAAGTTTTATTTAGTTATCAGTGTCTAATTATTAGTAAATACAAACTGAAAATGTGTTGGAAACCACATGGACAATACAGTCAGTGACAAGCATCACATCATAAATCATGTGGAAACGTTTCTGCACAAACTGTGAGTCGATTTTACAACGAAAAAAAAAACATTTTTATTCATTTATTGAGATTCAAAAGAGCCATAAACTTGAAAAATCATATAAAAATATAAAACCTGGCCGTAACAACGTTCTTCGTTTGTCTTCCATGATTTTCAGTCGGTTTCTCTCTGTTTGACATGTGGTGTCTCCCCCAGCTGGGGGCGCTGTGGCAGAACCCGGCCGGTTCTGGTCAGAGCACGGTGGTTTCGGTTTGCAGGATGGACTGGGCCCGAGTGTTTCTGGGAAACTGAGTGATGTTGGGGTTTGCTGACAGGCGGCGAAGACTGTAGTCCTGCAACACGCCGCGATTCGTGGATAAACTCCTCCATGTCCTCCGCACCTCCATCTGAACCTGCAGGGAAGAGGAGGAGGAGGAGGAGGAGGAGGAGGAGGAGGAGGAGGAGGAGGAGGAGGAGGAGGAGGAGGAGGAGGAGGAGGAAGAGGAAGAGGAGGAGGAGGAGGAGGAGGAGGAGGAGGAGGAGGAGGAGGAGGAGGAGGAGGAGGAGGAGGAGGAGGAGGAGGAGGAGGAGGAGGAGGAGGAGGAGGAGGAGGAGGAAGAGGAGGAGGAGGAGGAGGAGGAGGAAGAGCTGACTGACTGAATTGATCCGCAGAGGGAAGTGGGCAGGAAGTCTCACCTCGCTGTTGAGGAAGCAGTAGAGGACGGCGACGATGAGGCCCTGAAACAAACAGGCGACATTCAGACCTGATAAACAATTCGGTTCATCGTCTCATTGATTTTAAAGATTGTTTTAGATTCTGTTTTAGTCATTTTTGCACCGTTTGAACTTTTCTGGCCGATTACAAATCTGTTAAAAAGCTTAACCTGCCAATTCCAGTTTTGACCGATACCAATATTTTTGTCTGAAATGTTGCTCCATACACCAAGAAATTAGCTGACTTGGCTACAGTGGAGTAACTATGAATTATAGTCGGTGGGTCAGTCAGAGCTTTCCAACCGGAGAGCGAGAGGACAAGCTAGAAAAGATCGGCTTCATAAGTAAAAATCATCTGATCACTGATCTCCCAAAATCATGGCAACCGGCACCGATAAACCGCCTGGCTGATATATCGGTGCATCTGTAGTTCATTTAATTTTATTTCCTTTCTGTCTTCTGCTTCTGATGTCCAGCTGAACAGTCAACAGAAAAAACTAAATTAATAAATTGTTAAAAAAAATAATAGTAGAAACAGAAATCTAAAGGAGTTTTGTTCGGCTCCCTCACTTTGACGTTATCTGCGTTTAAACTGAAAGTTGAATCAAGAGGACACAGAACCCTGAGAACATTTCCGGACCTGGAAGGAGCCGAGGCCGAGCTCGAAGAAGATCTTGATCTGCTTCAGCGTTTCATCGTCCGGCTCCATCAGGTAGAAGAAAACCACGTAGTTTACCCCGAACAGAGGAATCAGCAGCAGGGTGGACTTGGCCAGCCGCCTGCACAGAGGGTCAAAAACAAGGAACTACAGCAGGAACTACAGCAGGAACTACAGTAGGAACTACAGTAGGAACTACAATAGGAACTACAATAGGAACTACAGTAGGAACGACAATAGGAACTACAGTAGGAACTACAATAGGAACTACAGCAGGAACTACAATATAACTACAGCAGAAACTACAAGAGGAACTACAATATAACTGCAGCAAGAACTACAATATAACTACAGTAGGAACTACAAGCGGAACTACAGTAGGAACTACAATAGGAACTACAGTAGGAACTACAATAGGAACTACAGTAGGAACTACAATAGGAACTACAGCAGGAACTACAGCAGGAACTACAATATAACTACAACAGGAACTACAGCAGGAACTACAATATAACTGCAGCAAGAACTACAATATAACTACAGTAGGAACTACAATAGGAACTACAGTAGGAACTACAATAGGAACTACAGCAGGAACTACAATATAACTACAGCAGAAACTACAATAGGAACTACAGTTGGAACTACAGCAAGAACTACAGTAGGAACTGCAGCAGAAACTGCAGCAGGAACTACAATATAACTACAGCAGGAACTACAGTAGGAACTACAATATAACTACAGCAGGAACTACAATAGGAACTACAATATAATTACAGCAGAAACTACAATAGGAACTACAGTTGGAACTACAGCAAGAACTACAGTAGGAACTGCAACAGTAACTGCAGCAGGAACTACAATATAACTACAGCAGGAACTACAATAGGAACTACAATATAACTACAGCAGGAACTACAATAGGAACTGCAGCAGGAACTACAATATAACTATAGCAGGAACTACAGCTGTAGTTATATTGTAACTCTAGCAGGAACTACAGTAGGAACTACAATATAACTACAGCAGGAACTACAATAGGAACTACAGCAGGAACTACAATATAACTATAGCAGAAACTACAATAGGAACTACAGCAGGAACTACAATAGGAAGTACAGCAGGAACTACAATATAACTATAGCAGAAACTACAGCTGTAGTTATATTGTAACTCTAGCAGGAACTACAGTAGGAACCACAGCAGGAACCTCCACACTGACAGGACAAACTTAGAACAATCAAATCAAGCTGAGTTTAACGATCAAAGTGATTTTTTACAGTACCTGTACTGCGATTGGTCGTTTCCTCCGACGTCTGAGCTGCGTAGTTTCTGCACCAAGACTCGAATGATGCTGATGAACAGCAGGAAGTTTATCTTCAGGAGAAACAGAGCAGACACAGACGGAGCTTTTATTACATAAATAAGCTACTTTTACACTCACAAAAAAAATAATTACAGTTTTGAAGAGAACAAAAGCATTTAAACATTTAAATAATATAGCAGAAAACAGATTTCAACCAGGTTAAGGTGTCTAGAAACCTTTAAAAATGAAAACTAAATAAATCTCACGATGATGGACGCCATGATGGGCCAGTTGATCAGCCGGTCAGGAACTGGGTTGTCGTTGATCTCCCAGCATCTGGCAACAAACCAACAAATGTTCCCTGAAGTATCCATCACATTTATTCCCCCAGGTGTCCAAACTCACCAGGTGTCCAAACTCACCTGGTGTCCAAACTCACCAGGTGTCCAAACTCACCTGGTGTCCTCCAGGTTGATCCGGCTGACGATCCAGGCCACGGTGAAGACAGACGGGATTCCTGACGGAGAGAGAGCGGGTCGGTTCAGGTTCTGCCAGACGGAGAACATCTCACCAAGGCGCGTTCAGGAAGCGCAGCGTTTAACGGCGATGCGTCGGCTGCTGCGGGGGAGGGTTTGATCGATGGTGGAAGAACGGAGCAGCCGAGGCAGAGCGGAACAAAACGGACCGGGAGGCATGGAAATGTTTACAGGATGACGCACCGTCTGGGTCCGGTTCTGATCCAGGAGAATCTTTAGAAACAACGAGTGTCCTATTTAAAGGCCGCTTGGGGATGTACGGACCCCAGGAAGCAAAAGAGAGATTAGAACAAAAATGAAAGAGGAGCACTGCAAAAACACAACATCTTTAAAAAAATGTTTTTGTCTGTTTTCTATTGCAAACATTTCAGAACTCTTGAAATAAGACAAAATAAACTTTTCATCAAGATTTACTTGTAGTTAATTTGGTCTTATTTCCACTGTACTAAGATATAAACTAAATTTGTGTTTTTGCAGTGCAGCTCTTCAGGAAACAGGAAGTTCACAATTACAGGAATGTAAAGGTTTCAAAATAAAGATGTGAAGATCCCTGAGCTGCTGGTCCAGCAGTTCATCCCTCGTTCCAATTATAACGGGAAAAAATCTCGTTATGACTGAGATAATCTGCCTTTTTACTTAAAACAAGCTCCAGTTTCTGTCTTCTATGTTAGTCGTGTCTTTTTTAAAGTGTTCTGAGATATTTCCACCAGAGCTGGACTAAAATACTTGGTGAGTTTTTGCAGTGCAGGTCGTCTCCGATCGGTGCGGTGCAGAGGGACGGACAGACGGACGTCCCGCTCACCCCAGCCAATCAGCATGCAGACGGAGAGGCGGACGCAGCAGGTCCGGATGACCAGCAGCAGCATGTGCAGGTACAGACCCTCCACCAGCAGCCAGAAGAAGTTCGCCATGACGAAATAGTTGAAGAAAACCAGGCTGGTCTTACAGCCCACCTGGAGTAGAAACCAGGACATGAAATATGAAGTATCAGGAAAAACCTGCAGACGTTTAACAAATATTCAATAAAACAACAAAGCAGCACTTGGTGCTCATGTGTCAAATCAAGAGGAAAGCACAGCAACAAAATGGCGGCAGGAGAAGAGACACAATTATTAGTTTCTCTGCTTCTGTCCTGATTCAAACGAGATACAAAGAGCAAATATTTAGAACAGGATTTGATTAAATGAGATTATATAGTTTCTGCAGAGGCTGGCATATTAATCACCAGAATAACAGATTTATGTTGGATGAAAACAGATATATAATTGTCTTCTAGATGAAGTAAAGAGCAAAAACTGGAGTCGATGAAAAGAAGCCAAAGATCAACTTCAGGAAAACTTTCAGAAAACTTCAGGAGCCAAACAAAGTCCGACTGCTGGGAGGGAAAATGTAACGAACTGAATCAAGACTTACAGAAAACTACTTCTGACATACTGGGCTAAATGAAACCTAAGAGTGTTTTCTATGTGTTTTCTACCAGAAAACAGTTTTCTGTCAGTTTTCTGTTTCTTTGTGTGTTTTGTGTCTCCTGTGTGTTTCTCGTCTGTTTTCTGTGTGTTTCTCGTCTGTTTTCTGTGTGTTTCCCGTCTGTTTTCTGTGTTTCTCGTCTGTTTTCTGTGTGTTTCTCATCTGTTTTCTGTGTGTTTCTCGTGTTTTCTGTGTGTTTCCCGTGTGTTTTCTGTGTGTTTCCCGTGTGTTTCCTGTGTGTTTCCTGTGTGTTTCCTGTGTGTTTCCTGTGTTTTCTGTGTGTTTCCTGTATGTTTCTGTGTGTTTCTTGTGTGTTTTCTGTGTGTTTTCTGTGTGTTTCCTGTGTGTTTCCCGTGTGTTTTCTGTGTTTCTCGTCTGTTTTTTCTGTGTTTCTCGTCTGTTTTCTGTGTGTTTCTCGTCTGTTTTCTGTGTGTTTCTCGTCTGTTTTCTGTGTGTTTCTCGTCTGTTTTCTGTGTGTTTCTCGTCTGTTTTCTGTGTGTTTCCCGTCTGTTTTCTGTGTTTCTCGTCTGTTTTCTGTGTGTTTCTCATCTGTTTTCTGTGTGTTTCCCGTCTGTTTTCTGTGTTTCTCATCTGTTTTTTCTGTGTTTCTCGTCTGTTTTCTGTGCGTTTCTCGTCTTTTTTCTGTGTTTCTCGTCTGTTTTCTGTGTGTTTCTCATCTGTTTTCTGTGTGTTTTCAGTGAGTCTTGTTTCTTCGGTGTGTGGAGTCACCAGAGGCAGCTGCGTGCTGCAGTCGGTGCTCTGGTCCTCTGAGAAGAGCAGCGTGTCTTTGATCAGCACGGCCACGGCTCGCAGCATGAAGGACACAAACAGGTTCAGATGGATGTAGTTCCTCATGCAGTGGAGCCTCCTACACACACACACACACACACACACACACACACACACACACACACACACACACACACACACACACACACACACACACACACACACACACACACACACGGAGTGTCAGGAGGAGTGTTTACAGGGAGAGTCGACCCGGTGGGTGACGTGTCGTCCAAGCAGCAGCTGCAGTTCCTCCGAACCGAGTCACACACAGCGAGTCGCTTTCTACTCACTGGAAAACGAACCAGTTCGGGTTTAACGAGCTTCTGCTGTTAACTGGTGCATCTTATCTCCACGTTCCTGAGTTTCTCCACAGAGAAACCAGTTTGGGAGTCAAGCTGAGACTCCCACATGCTGGACGCGTCGTCATAAACGTCTCGACTCACTATAAATAAAACCTCTTAAGAAGATAAATGCAGATTTAATAAACTGAACCTAACACGGTTTATAAACTCTGTTTTTACTGGATTTTCCCAGAGATGTTTCAGATTTAAAAAATCTTTTCATGTTTAGACAAACAGAGAAGAAATCAAACATAAACTTTATGATTTTGCTGCATAAAAATGCTGCATGGGTCCAGATGTGTGTCGATCCTTACAGACGTCAACATTCATGATCAGAGAAATAATTTAAAATTATTTAAAATCACCATGTTAAAGGAGGGCCAAAAACTTATTCTAGGTCCAAAACTTTTGAAGCTTCTGCAAATTTGATTTATTATAAGTAATTTTCCAGATTTTCTAGGCATAAATTGGGAAAAGAAGAACAATTTAATCACTTCTGATCAGTAAAATCAGGATTCAGGTCAAAATATTTGCTGCATTTTTCCAAATTAATTCCAATCAGATGAAAGCAACAAAGGAAAGTTTGGTAAAAATCTGACTCTGTCTGTCATGGTTTTATCCTAATTATAAATAGAAAGTCTCCATTCATCAGGGGCCACCCACAGTCAGGGAGGGGCCACAAATGGCCCCCAGGCCGCACTTTGGACACCATGAACTAAATACCTGCTAAATTGAAAATGTCCAGCTGTTCTTCACTCATATTAGCAGGGAGGATAATTTCCTCATGTCTGAAGCAACATGAGGCTGAATGAACTGCAGGTGTTGACGACCCGACCGGCAGAACCGACCCGATTCTGGTCCAGAATTCTCACCAGGAAAACATTCATATGGTTATGAAACCAAACAATCAGACTAAACTGGCACTGAGCAGAACAGGAAGAGGAAAAATGTCTGCAGGTCTATTTGGGTTTTTCCCAGCAGTGGATGAGCTGCAGAGCCTTTAAACGTAAAGATGTGATGCTTTGCTGCGATTTGGGAGCATCGTACCTGAAGGAGCAGATGATGGCGGTGCTGGTGATCAGAGCGACGAGCGACAGGCTGTGACCCAGAGTGGACAGGATCTGGACCACTCTGTAGAAGAGCAGCTGCGCCGCAACACAGACATGAGTTTATGGAGCATCGAATGAGAAACAATGAGGCCGTTCATCAAAGCCGGTCATAAAACATGAGGCGCAGCTGGGCCGGCCTCCGCGAAACCGCATTGTGTTTCATAAACACAAGAGAAAATGGATTATGAGACACAAACCGAGGCCAGCGCCGCTGTTTATAGAAAACATTCTTTTGTTCAAATAAATCTCATCTGAGTGCAAAAATGTTTATGAGAAAAGACACAAATTTAACCAAATATTTGTGAAGACAGGAGAAAAATAAGGCGGCTTCACAAAAAACTGAACAACCGAAGCAGCTTTTAAAAAAACACAAACTTTCTCTTGTTTTAATGAACGTTTCCCTCCTCAAGACAGGAAAGACAACAAAACATGGCATTGAAATTAGCAGAAGAGGCTAACGATAAAAATCATACTGACATTAGAGTAGAAATACCTCAATATATTTACCAGAGTAAAACGCTGCAAAACGCAAACTTACCAGTTTTTAAAGAAAATGTTTTAGAAAACCTGAAACAACAAAATAAATTTACAAGATAGTTTAAGTAAATAATTACTTAATATTAATAAGAAATACTTTTCTACTTTTATTTCACTTGAAGATTTTTCCAGATGTTTTGAGTGAAACCAGTATTTTTATATCAATGTTAACGAGTGACTATTTCATCTGTATTAACATATTTAAACTGGAAAGCAGATGAAAAATGTTGGTAAGTTTTTGTGTTTTTCCTCCTGCATGAGGTGAAAACCTCTCCAGACGCATTTAAACTCTTTAAATCAGGAGTTTTACAGTGAACTGAAGTCAGTCTCATAGTAAGTCTCTTCTGTCTCCAACGGGAGGAGGCTCTTTCAGAATAAGAGTCTGCTCCGTCACAGCGTGTTCTGGCGTTCATCGCTCTCTGGTCGGCTGTAAACAACATTCCCCCCGGCTGACACGCCACCGCACAATTAACTCCACACACACACACACACACACACACACACACACACACACACACACACACACACACACACACACACACACACACACACACACACACACACACACACACACACACAATATATAGTGTAAAAATAGCTGCATGCATGTCTGCGACTGAAACCCTGAAGGCGACGCGGAGCAGAGCGATGGAGACCTGGACGCTCGGAGAGCCTGAACTTACAGCGACATTCCTCATTTTCCTTAAATATTTCCTTATTTGGAAACTCGCAGCTCTTCTCTGCTTTCTGTCTCAACCATTCAACTCATTTCTGCTCAAATATTCTCAAATCAAAAACTATTTTGCTTTCTTACAGCCCACATCGCCTTCATGCTTCGCTCGGCTTAATTGCTGTTTACAGTGGAAACCAGATATTTACATGAACTGAGCGAAAAGTCAAGTCAAAGTTTATTGATTTACAATTGTCAGCAACCTCAGCTGAAAGAAGATAAATGATAAAACAAGACATGAAATTAAGTTAAACGACGATAAAATTGAAAGGAAAAATACCAAAAATAACAACGCATAAAAAACTCAAATAAATTAAGTGCTATTTTTTTATTTTAGCCGTATTGTGATAAAAGACAAACAGCTTTCTTGTAGTTAAATCAGACCAAACTTTTACTGTTAAAATGACAATAATAAAATTATTTCCATTTGCTAAATAACAGAAAACTTGGTGAGAAAATATTTTTGGGAATTTTTTTGTAGCTTTCCTCCAATTCCAAATTGGTTGGAGTCCAGATGAATAAATGTCTTTTAAAACGTCTGATCTATTGGGTTTCCTGCCACATTTTCATTTGGTTGCACTTTAAATCTGTTTTAGAGAGTAACCGCTGTGAGGAAAATCTGAATAAAACACAAGCAAAACCTTTTACAGCTGCAGAGTTTGGTTTGACTTTGCATCACTTCAGAAGCGTTTTGACAGTAAAGTTGGAATTCACTGCAGAAAATCCAAACTTTTTGCTTTTTCTGCTCTTTTTCTCACACTGGTTCGTGCAACCGCTACAGAAGTGTGTTTGAAATCATTTAGTGTGGAACCAGGACTTGAACTACAGCTTAGCAGATTGTTTTGTTACTTTCCTGTAGAAGCAGCAGACGTCCCTGCAGGCTGAGGCTCTGAGGATCATCTGAAGTTTACGTTAGCAGCACCGCAGTGTAAACTCACACAGCGAGGCGAAGCGCGTCTTAAATGAGGTTTGGACCAAAGTTCTGCACTCTGACCGATGAATCCTGCAGTGTTTCTGCATTAAAGCCTGAAGCGTCTCTAACAGCTTTATGACTTCACTTCCTCTGCGTTCGCTGCACAAACCCAAACAGGCAGAAACGATCAAACTGGGAGACATGATGTTGGTTCTGAGCTAAACTGAAAAGTTTCATGTTTCCCTGAAATAAATCAGCTTTCAGGTGCCATTTTGTCCAGTTTTGACTGTTTTACCCTCAACTGAATGTCCTTCCTGAAGGTTCAGTTTAAGGATTAGCAGCTGTCACGGAGTTACGTTGGTTTCATGAGACGCGGCGTTGAAAGATGTGCAGGAACAAATCCGATCCACACTGACCGCGGCTCGGGCCGACAGGACTTAACGGATCTGCTGACTGGGAGCGTGACTCTGCAGGGCCCGGTCCGAGGTCCTGCAGGGTCCAGCCGTCACATGAAGAACCGCAGACTGACTCTGCAGGCCGGCTGCTACGCCTCAGATCAGTCAGAATATCCTCAAACTGTTTCGTCCTTATTTCTGTTGAGCTTTTTACTCAAATTAATCCTGCTGACCAATCAGCTGGGATGCAGAACCTGGTTGAACTAAACTATATGAAATGTTGAGTAAAAGGGATTATACTAAACTAATACATCGTTCTTATTTGAAACAAATTAAATGTTTGAAACAATATCAAAATCAAAATCAAGTTTTTAAAGATGGCCGACGACGAGAAATCCAAAAGCTTCCAGAAACAAAACTGGCTGCTTTCTGTCAGCTGCTGCATTTCCATTCACCATGAAAACTAAATGAATTTGAAATACAAAAATAAATTCACTTCATGGAAACAGCATTTTAGAAAAAACACGTGTTTCAGAATGAAAGCATTTAGCAAAACTGTAATTCAAACACTTTGTTTTGCATCATGCGATCAGCAATCAGATGTTACTCCTGGCAGAAACGAAGAAGAAGACGACAGGAAGTGTTTGCAGGATGATGGAGCTGCATGTTTCAATGTAAACAAACGTTTTCATGTGTGATTTTGTTCATTTCTTATTGAAAGGAAACATCTTCACTGTCTGTCCTGATGAAGGAATCGCAGCTCAGGCTCCATTTCTGCTTCTCTGACGTTTCCAGACATTTGTTTCTGCACAACTTTCTTTCAGATGTGGAGAAGATAAGAAACAGCAATAAAAACCTTTTAATCAGGTTTAAAAAGCTAAAGCCAGTTCTAAAGCGCAGCATGAAGGAGGATGTGAGTTTGAATGGAGATAATAAAGATTCTGGCTTTCTGCTTAAACCGCTTGTTTAAAGCTATAAAGCAACAGAATCCTGGAATGCAGTAAGTAATAACTGGAAGGTCAGAGTTGAGCTGCGTGGCATCGGTCTGGAAGCCTCCGGGTTAAAAAACGGGGTTCACTCAGGCTGCGGCCGGAACCGCAGGCAACACGGGGAAAAGGTCAAGAACGGACCTGAAACACACAGGATGAAACCTGCAGCGGCGTCACTCCACTGTCAGCCCTCCAGAGTCAGAGGGAGGCAGGGAGCTGCAGGCCTGCGACAGGTCAGCAGGCCGGAACGGGTCCAGATGGAGGCAGACGGGTCCAGATGGAGGCAGACGGGTCAGATTAGAAAGCAGAGCGTCTCGACCGCGAACTGAATCCCTCCACTGGGAGGTAAAGCCAACGTCTCGCCACAAACCACCTGATTAATAACCTGAGATCCAACCAGCAATCCTAGGAATCCTGACCTCTGACCTCTGCATCCTGACACTCCAGCAAAATCTTACCACAACAATTTTTCACGCTGATCTGGAGTGGTGAAGCGTGGGTTTCTCGCCATCGACCATTTGCACGTGACGTCACGCTGCCTGAAAACAACCAATCCGGTCCTGATTCTGGTCGCCTGACATCACTCGGTCCAGTTGGTACCATGTTATGAATGACTGTTACGCTGCTGCGCGGTCAGCAGCACAAGCAGACCAGGACAGAAACCAAACCTGTCATTTTATTGTGCAAGTTTTAACGAACGCAGCCGTCAGCGACTGATCTGCAGCTGATCTTCAGCTGATCTGCAGCTGATCTGCAGCTGATCTGCAGCTGATCTGCAGCTGAACTGCAGCTGATCTGCAGCTGAACTGCAGCAAACACCTTTTACGAGGTAGCAGAAGGTACGCACCTGTTAGTCACCCATGGAGACAATCTGGTAGCCTAGCATGTACTGAAATAACTGGTTAGCATCTGGTAGTTTGTACGTTTTTAATGCTGCTCTGGTGAAAATGGAAGAGACGTTTATGACACAGTGACATAAATCATGTGGTGTTCAGGTTCTATGAGTTCACAGAACCTGAATGTACTGATCCAGTTTGAAGGAAAGAGACTGAAACCACTGAGCAACAGGCAGCTATGAGTTTCAAACCAACATCCTGTAATAAAACCAAAACATTAAAGTTTGTGTTTCAGTCCCTGCAGCCTAATTCACAGAAAAACTCTGATTTATCAGTAAAAACGGTTCCAGCCCAACCTGACGTCAGAACCAGAAACGACTCTGGTCCGATTCTAGAAATCCTGCAGGTTAAAACTGGGCCTGCGGTTTGTTCGCGACCTGCAGCAGCTTTCCAAAAATGGGTCAAACTGGAGATTAATGCCGTTTTCCTCCTACTGGTGCAGATTCACCGCCTCTGATCTGTCACTGTTTCCTCTCTGTTACAGGATTCTGTTCAGTTCTTTGGCTGAAGCACAAAAAACAGCAAAACTGTAGTTTAAATGTTTTTCATTTTAATTTTGAAAAATGAAATTCAGCTTCTTTTTCAATAACTACAATAAAATGTCTCATAAAATACTTAAGTTTTAATTTATTAATCTTCTTAACTTGGGCCTATAAATCATTCAAACATAATACGTTTGAACTTTGGACAAAATGGTAAAAAAACAAGCAGCTGAACATTTAAAATCCAATATGGCTGCCAGTCAGTTGAAACATGAGGAATGTAGCAGCATAAACTTTTTACTGCTACAGTGTTGCAAAAATATCGATTTGCAAACATGTTTAGTATTTGAACGCACCTTGTGGAGAGACTTTCACGGTCTTTAGCTTGTATTGCTAATAGCTTTTAGCATAACGATCCACCAAACAAATTCACCCCATCATGCTACCTAGCATGGTAGCAGGTTAGCATGCTAAGCTACTTAGCAGGCTAGCTTGTAGCAGGACTGGTGATTGTTTTGGACTGCAGGGGTTTTTAATTCAGCTGAATATATAAAGAAACATGATGAATTTCCCACAGTTTGGCAGAAACTCGGAGTTTTACTCCAGCATTGTGACTCTGAAAGAGCCGTTAGCTGAAAACCAAATCCCCTGTCATGTTTCTTTTACACACTGTTTATCATCTGGAGACAGTTTTATCAGATCTGGCACTTTTCCACTGTCCTCTGGACTGACAGACAAATAGCAGCTGCAGCTCAGAGGAAAACTTTAGAAAGTCAGAAAAACTTTAGTATCGCTGAAGCTGATACTAAAGTTTTAATGAGATTTAATGCAGACTTCAGTCTGGTGCTTTAGAAAGGAAAACATGAGCAATAACTAAAACCTGTAAAACAAACTTCCTGTTGTAACGTTTCTGCAGCTTGACATGAAACCAAACACAAACTCACAGAACCTGATGAGACAATCAGAAGCCAAACAAAGCGGCTTTCAGCATCCGACTGCAGCAGCAACGCCCCGCGGCTGCAGCATGCTGCAGCACCATGTGCAGCACCAACGCCGCCCTGCGGCTGCAGCATGCTGCAGCACCATGTGCAGCACCAACGCCCCGCGGCTGCAGCATGCTGCAGCACCATGCTGCTGCAGCAGAGCCGGGGTTTTGAACGCACCTCGTTGGGTTTGTCGCTGATGTCCGATGAGCAGGCGGCGCCGACGTCGGGATAAACCGGCGACCAGCCTTTCTCAGTGCAGTTCCTGTTCAGGTTACCTGACAGAAGCAGAAACAGTTGCACTGTAAAACATGTCAGTCACATTGAGTTGTGTTTACTGTCTTCTACGCTTTAAGTCAAACAAATTTATGAATTTGTGAAAGATCTTACTACTAACGTTGTGCTGACTTTTTGTCAATTTTCTCAAAACTGCAAGTGTTGAACAAACTGGAGTTTTCAGGTTAGCACTTAAAAAACTGAAAAAGAAAAAGACGGGAGTGGGAACTATTTCCCAGAGTGCTTAGTTTCTGTAACTCCTTGATTTCCTCCGATCATATAAGTGTTTCAGTATCTTCAGTCTTTCTTTTGAAAGTTTTATCCATTATTATTTTTAAACACAAACTAAACGCTCATTTACATGCAGTTCCCTGTGGGACACTAGGGGCGCCGCGGACCACCAGAGGACCAAAGTTTGAGAAAGCTTTAACTAGAAATGTGATCTGGTTTTAACATGATTGTTCCACCGTGAGAAGAGAGCAGTCCCTATGAATCATTAGGAGAATAATTGCGTCTGTCCTCCAGTGTCCAGCAGGGCGGAGACATTTTGGAGCCACAACTGCTGCTGTGACTCCATGTTTCATCACTGCAGCAGCTGAAGCTTTGATTTGTTGCTTTCTGCTGCAGCATTGAGGCGGATGAACCACAAACCCGATCAGGCTCAGAGCGAAAAACGCAGCAAAAACAAGATTTTAATGAACAAATCAGAGAAAAAGATCCAGAAATAAAAATATAAAACCACAGAAATAAAGAAATGTTTTACTAACAAGCTAATCAACCGGATGGAGGAAACAGACTGAATCCTCTGGATGGTCAATTGTTCATTTTGCCAGATCTACGGAGGACTCAAAATGCCAAAATCAACAACAAATAATAGGATTTAGAAAAAAAAAAACAGTTATTTAAATTAAGTCGCAACAATTTTCTCTTTATTTATCAATTTATTTTGCTATGATTTTGTAAAGTATTAAGCAGACTAATCACTCTAATATCTCCTGTCACAATCAATAAATCAATTAATCACATGATAAATTAAATCAAACTCAACAGTTTCAATTTGTATGATTTATTGTTTTTCAGTTTTCTCTATTTTTACCAAAAACTGGATGATAAAAGTTTCCAATCTGCTGATTTTTGTATTTTGAATATTTAAAATGTCTTTAAATGTTTGTTAGAATTTAAAGTTTATTGATCTTTGAAAATGCGTTCTTGCATTATTAACTTAAAAATGTTGTCAAAACTACAATATTGTCTTTTATTGCGGTAACGTCTGCTAATGTTTCTCATGGTGACATCATCACTTTGCATCTAAATGCAGGAAACGCTGCGAAGAATCAAGAAGCTGAGATTCATCTACAAATTAAATTCACATCAAAAGTATTTATTGATCCCAAACGGAATATAAACGTTGTTGCAACTTCTGATACGGTCGAATAAAAACATTCGACCACAAAAAGTGACTTTGCAACCATTTCAGTAAGTCATAAAATCACCAGAAGAGTAAAACTCATGAGATTCCTGCCTCCGAAAGCGACGAGGGAGAGGCTGAGATTTCATCAGGAAGCAAAGTTTCACGTTTCTCAAAGTCGGGATAATCATCATCTCGGTTCCCTAATCTCATTACCGGATTAGGATCCTCAGAAATGTTTGTGCAGAGAAGAGAAACGGCTCTGAGGTCCAACTGAACTTTGAAACTCCAAATCCGTCCTGACAGATTCTGATCCTCATGAAGAACAAAACACCTTCATAACAGATTATTTATTATCAGTCGGTTTTCATGCACTTTTAATCTTAATTCAGATTATAGTCCAACTCTGTTGTCATCAGTATCACTGGCAGGAAAACAGCTGATTGAGTTTGGAGGGAAAATGTTTATTTTTGGTTTATTTTTATGAAACGGACAGAAG